AGATAATGCCGTGTCGTTGCTACAGAAATACAAATACCTTGCTGAAGACAGCAACATGTCCGTGCCGTCCGAGCCCAGCAGCCCCCAGAGCAGCACGCGCACGCGCTCGCCTTCCCCGGAGGACATCCTGGAGCGGGTGGCTGCGGACGTCAAAGAGTACGAGCGGGAGAACGTTGACACGTTCGAGGCCTCGGTGAAAGCCAAGCACAACCTGATGGCCGTGGAGCAGAGCAACGGTGAGCGGGTTAGGGTTTGCTTCCGCTGGCTCTGCCTGTCTCCTCGCAGCTCTTCTCCCTGCTGCGTCGTTGCAACGAGGGTGTATTTGGGGAGGGAGACGCGCCCGGGACTAGGAGTGTGTTGCTCCCGCTGTTGCAGGAGCAGAGTTAAGTGCTTTCATTAGCTCATGTAAATGCGCGCCCGCCTGCCCCCTGCCTTCTGCGCTGCTTGCTGGAGTGCTTTACAGCGGATCCCTGCCATGACTTGATCTCATCCGTGAATGCTTCAGTTCGTACTTGTTAGATAAGGGCTTGCTTTTTAAAAAGCATGACTCGTACTTGGTAAAATTGACTTTGCGTATCTGCTCTCTGTTTGCAGATGGTTGCTTTGACTCAGAATCCAGAATGAGACATACGTTGTATCTGGGGTATCTGTCTCTTAGGTCTCTTTCTCAGTGGTTTTCCAGCTGTCCCCATTGTGGTGGCCCCGCACCCCAGCCCAGCCCCTCTTGCCGTTGACTTTGGGGACTGCCGGGGCCTGTATCTGGGCACCTTTTCTACTCTGATGTTGTCTGACCTTAGTCTTGTCATTTGCTGCCCTGTCCTCTGTATTTCTTGAAAACTAGTAGTGGTAGAGACTAGTGTAATTTTTCCATCCAGAGTACTTGGTACATGCGTCCCATTGGGTGGCATGTGGTGTGTGGCTGTCCTGTTTTTGTTGAGATGGTTAGACAAGACAGGCCTCTGGGTCTCCTCTGGGCTGTCACCGTGCAGTTGGACAGCCGGCGGCCATCCTTGCTTAGATCCATTTCATGGGGAGGTTCCACAGTGGTGATTTTTTTACATTTCCGTCATTCCTTTTGAATTATTAGCTCTAATTCTGTAAAAGAAGTTTCCATTCTTTGATTATCTCAAAATAGAGTTTGTGCAGGAAAGGCATGACAGGTGTCTGATCATTCTCCTTTGCTGGCCCGGTTTTGGCATGGAATAGGGCTGGCGCCCCCCAGGGGTGACCAGTGAGACTGCGGCGGCCCTGGGGTCGTCATGCACTTCCTGCGCTGGAGTCTGCTGCTGCCGTTCTCCTGACGCTCGGGCTATTCTCCGTCGGGGGAGGGGGTGCTTTTAAATTGGTCTCTGGTGTCTTTTTGACCCAAACCCTGCAGTTTTTAACATGGCTGTCTTTCTAGGACAGGGGTCCACTAACTTTCTGTAAAATGTCAGAAAGTAAATGTTAGGCTTTCGTAATTATTTCAGACTCTGTTCCAACTGCTGAACTCCACTGTCGTGTAGAGTGGCCTCGCCCCCGGATGAGTGAGCAGGGCCGCGTCCCCAGGACACTTGGTGGATTGAATGTCATGTGGTGTTCACGGGTCACAAAATACGCATCGTGTTTTTCCCGAGACCTCTCCAAATGTAAAAATGGGCCATACAGGAAAAGTGAGGCCGAGGTTGCCGACTCCTGTTCCACCACAGTGAGTGATCATGGCCTCACCTGTGGGTGTCTTGCCCTAGAACAGGATCAGCTGGTGCTCCAGGAACCCTGGGTCCATTTAGTAGGAAATGTCCCTTGGAAACTACAGGGCACTGAGAGATGCCCATTGCTCCTGGGCCCTTCCACCAGACCCAGCTAGGAAACACACACGCTCTTGGACACGAGGCGGATGTTGCCGATTCGGATTTGAGGTTTATAGGGGTTTTGCTAACTTCCTTGACTTTACATTTTATCTTTTTTGCAGTGGAAAAACTTAGTTACTTAGGTTATTACTTTGAAACTTTCATATGTACAGTCATCACTATGATTATCAATATGAAATACATTGAATGCAATTTGAAAATGTAATTTTCTTTCTGTCCTTGGGATGCAGTCCAAGGTGTATAGTCAGCAAATCTGTGTCTTAAAGTTAATTTTTCTGTCTGATTATACCACCAGTTTGAAAAGTTTTGGTTTATTTTCATTCACTTTTGATTTTTAGGGGTAATTTGGGCTTTTAAAAATTATTTAAACATTTCATATAGGTATGCATTTGCATTCCATTTACACAAGCACACGAAAAATCACCCTGTACACACTTCCCTGTCTGAGAAGACCTCCATTCCTTTCTGCAGCCGTGTAGTATTTCAGTGTAATGAGGGTGTCAGTTTACTCAGTCTTCTAATGGGGGTGTTTGGGTTGCGTCCTGTCGTTGCCTGTTGGTTGGAGCATTAATCATAATTGCATTGTGCGTTAAGGCTTTTTTTCTACTTGCTACTGTGTCTTTGGTTTCCTGGAAGTGGACTTGCTGGGTTTGAAGAGTCAGTGAATATGTGATTTTGCTGTGTATTTCCAGAGTCCCCTCTATGGGGGTTATACAGTTTGGCCATCCTGCAGGCAATGTCTGAGTGCTTTTTTATCAAGGGCCTTGTTCAGAATATTGTCATACTTTTAAATTTTTAGGAAGCTCATAGGAGAGAAATGCTATTTCATTGTGATTTTAATTTGCGTTTCATTTACTGTGAGATTGGACATATGTTCATATGCTTAATGCCATTACATTCTTTTTTTTTCTAAAAACGCCTTATTTTTTTTGTCCAGTTTTTTAATGGGGTTATTAGACTTTTTAGGAGAGAAATACAGACAGCTATCTATAGTGGGGATATTAACCTTTTGAAATTTAAGCTGCAATTTAGAAATAAGACTTTTTTAAAGATGAGCTTTCATTTTAATAATCATTACTTAGCTAATAGTACATTAATTTAACTAATGTTAGTGAAAGTATTAGGCTTGTCAACCTTCTGAAATGCATTCTTTTAGTAAAAAGTGATAGCTTTATAGATCTTAAGTGTTATAAAGTGATTTTAAGTTGGGTAGTAATGAAAAACTGATGTGCAGGTGGGGAAAAATGTTTGAATTGCTGGTAGTGATTTTCCAGAATTACTGTTTGTGGTTTAATGTGTCTCTGCATTTTTCAAATATTCATGCTAATTCCCATTAGTTTACCGTTACTTCCCATTAAGGTTCATCTCAGAAGAAGCTGTTGGCACCTGATATGTTTACAGAATCCGATGATATGTTTGCTGCGTATTTTGATGTAAGTAATTTTAAGTCTTAAAAATACAATTGTCAAATAGAAAAGCACGTGCAACAAATGTGTTTGAGTGGTATATACACACGTAGAGAAGGGTAAAGCAAATTAACGTTAACACTGGGGCAGCCTGGGTGAAGTGTATCTGAAATGTCTTGTACTAGTTTTGCAACTTTCCTCTAAGCCTGAAGGGAGGTCAAGTTTTAAAACAAGTGCAGTGGGACAGTCTGAGAACTTCATTAAAGTTAGCACTGAGTGACTTAAATGTGTAGATGGTTTCTTTTTAGACAGCTGTTTTCTTGGATTTACAGATGTGTGGCAGGGAGAGGCTGGTTGTAGTTAGGTGAGACAAAATGATGCCAGTAATTTCCAGGCCTGTTTGGAACAGAGTCCTCTTCGGGCTCCCCTCGTGTAGCTGATTGGGAACTTGAGGGTTTGGAACCTAGCAGAATTCATTGAAGAGTTGGAAATGTTATAAGGAGTGAATTAACACATTTTGGTCTTTTGGCTATTTTATCAGTGGTTTTTCTTGAAAAACTTAAAACATACTTAAAAGTCTGAGACCATTTCCATCATAAATTGAAGAGAACATGAGAAGTAAGGAGGCTTTGGTAAAGGAAGGTGGGGTGGGGAGGATGGACATGAAGAGGGAAGTTAGAAGTGGATTAAGACCCTGGAGACACCGGTGAGTGATTTAAGTGACGTGTCCCTAATGTGACACGTTGCAACAAGAACACACAAAAAAGATGAGTTAAGAGAGGATAGAATGGTTTTGAGCCAGTGAAAGTACCGGCACCCATCACTTACCTGGACGATGTTGAAGGATTTTCTGGGGGTTTGGAGAGGGGTCTGTGACAGAGACTTAAGAAGTTCCAGAGTTCCTGAGTTCTCACGCAGACTTGTCCAGTGCCGCCAGTGACACTGCATACACAGCCGGGCGGAGAGGCGGGGTGTTGCATGAACGGGGCAGGGAAAGACATGCAAGTTGATAGGGAGTTAGATACCGGTTTTCCTGAGTGTGCCTCTGATGTCTGTCTCTCTGTCAGTAGCCATAGAAAATCAGGTATGGTTTTGAGATTTTACTTTCATCTATAATGCCCCAGGCACGTTCCTGGAAGTTTCTGAAGATTATGTGTTAATTTTTTTCCCTGAGCATTACTGTATGCAGGAGACTTTGGTGTCGTGTTTTAGCTGCATCACATTTACGTAAGTCATAGTAAGAGTTTATTGAAGTTGGCATAAAATCGTTTTATCAGATTATGGCAGGGTTTGCCCGTGTTTCTTTTGAAGGAAGTGCTTTCACTGTCTGCCTCGTCGACGGCTAAATAGCTCACATTGCTGCCTTCATTTCAGAGTGCGCGTCTTCGGGCTGCTGGCATTGGGAAAGACTTCAAAGAGAACCCCAACCTCAGGGACAACTGGACTGATGCCGAAGGCTATTACCGTAAGTTCACGGTGCACTTCAGGCTCCTCGTAACGTTCTGTAGAATTACGTTGCTTGATGCCTGCACACTTGGGAGGACTCTGCAAGTAGCATCGCAGTGGCATCACTTGTAAAGTGTGGCACACCTGGCAGCTGTGTGAGCCCGTGCTGTGTTCTGCCGAGCAGCCCAGAAGCATCACAAGTTGAAGCAAGGTGAAGACTTGCTGTGCAGCTGAAGGCTGCTCAGAGTTACTTTCAGCCGTGAGATAACCCTTCAGAGGGTAGGGTATGTCATTTGCTTGTCTTGAACCGAAACCAAGAAAAACGACACACAAGGTCCCTGGGTGCCAGCCGTGCGGTTTGTCCTGCAGTGCGCGCACAGCTTCCCTGCTCGCTGTTAAGGTCGTCCGCAGTTGCCGGGACAGCGGAAACACTTGTAAGGGTTGGAAATCGCAGCTTTAACCACAGTATGCCAGGGGCACAGGGGAGGCGAGGCCTGGGGTCTCCGGGGGTGTCCAGGAAGACACGTTTGACAGCACTGTTTCGCCTGCTTCTTGATTTGTCATGCGTATCTCATAGTTCTGCCTGGTGATCTGTTAAGGTCAGAATTCTAATTTTTTAATTTATCTCTTTAGGTGTGAACATAGGTGAAGTCCTGGATAAGCGTTACAACGTGTATGGCTACACCGGCCAGGGTGTATTCAGTAACGTGGTCCGAGCCAGGGACAACGCCAGAGCCAACCAGGAGGTGGCCGTGAAGATCATCAGAAACAACGAGCTCATGTGAGTTGGGGCCGCGGGACACGGGACGCAGCCCTTCCCACCCGGGCGGGCCAGACGTCGGGCCCCGTGGTCTGTGTGAGGCAGGCACCGTGCGTGTGAATGGCTGGGTTTTACCTCACGGTCACACGTTTCGGGTGTGAAGTTCTGGGGCTGCAGGCCAATGGCACGTGGCTCAGCCCAGTGCGTTTCAGCACCCACTCTGTGCACCAAGACCAGCGTAGACGTCTGCCTTCTGCCACTCGTCGTAGGGCCGGCCTCGCCGCGCCTGCCTCCCACTGGGGGCCAGAGGTGAGAGACAGGACCACGCTGACTAGCCGTCCCCGAGCGTGTGGTGGCTGCAGGAGGCAAAACCGCGGGGGTCAGGCGGCTGCGGGAGTTACCTGTAGCTTCCGTCTGTCGCCTTTCCTTCCATTGGCTGGGAGGTACCTGCCGTCTTGTGCGCTGGGCTATAGTCCGTGCCGCCCGCCGAGCGGGCGGCAGTCAGCTTACCGTTGGTCTGAGAACACTAGGAAGAAGTGCTTAGGCTTACACTAAAGTCCTGGGCTGCCCTCGGCTTAGAGAGTTTTTTTTGTTTGGTGGAAATCCCCAGCTTCCACATTACAGACAGTAAGTTTAAAATACAGTCTGTGGACAAATTATAGCTAGAATTTCAGAGGATAGTATTTACATGAAGATGTTCTGAGATTAAATGTGCGAGATTGATCTCCCTTCAAGCGTGGTGGCTTTGTTCCTCGGTGTTTCTGTTTTGTTAATTGATTATTCTGGAAATTAGCTATGGAAACCGTATTTGGCTGAGTGTTAATTATTGTGTGAATGATACAGAGACTTGTCAGTCCTCAGCAGATCTGTTATTAGTACTTTAAAAAAACAAACTAAACTTGTGATACATCCGACTGGAACTAACAAATACTTACTTAGTTTTCCTAAACTGGATGTATTCTGTTCTGACCTAATTTTCTTTTTCATTTCAGGCAAAAAACGGGTTTAAAAGAATTAGAATTTTTGAAAAAACTTAATGACGCTGATCCTGATGACAAATTTCATTGTTTGCGACTCTTCAGACATTTTTATCACAAGCAGCATCTCTGTCTCGTGTTCGAGCCTCTGAGGTACGTGTGAGAACGTGTACGTCACCCGGAGAGCTGGCCACTTCGCCCCTGCCAGCCTCAGTTCAGGGGATGCTGGGATCGATGCTCTGTGTCCCTGACTTTTCTCCAGTTAGCTCTAGTTTTTGCTGTGGTGAAGAGCTAACTTCTTGAAAGTCATAATGTGTGAACATGAATTGGCTATGTTCTGGGTGCCGCACATTCACCCCGAGTGGCCTTCAGCTCGGCAGAGAGAGTCTCTGAAAATTAAACACTTTAAGGAAGGGTTGAGCTGGAATGAAAAGACATGAGCATAGTGGGGTTTGATCTTCAAAAGTATGGCCTCATTTTTCTGCCGTCAGCTGTAAGCCCATTCTAAAATCAACAGGGATTTTTACCACTGCACGTCTTCCCTTCTGTTTACTTGGAAAATAGTGTTGTGTACACAGGTTCATGTGCTCTCCTTTCAGTGTAGAATCTGATTTATCAAACGTTTGGGCAGCGGGGGTGGGGGGTTCTTGAACCAAGTATTTTCATTGTAGTTCGTGTTTTGAACTTGATTTTATTTTATTTCCATTTTGCATTTTAACCCCTAATTTTGGTTTTTTTTTTCTTTCTTAAAAGTATGAATTTACGAGAGGTGTTAAAAAAATATGGTAAGGATGTTGGCCTTCATATTAAGGCTGTAAGATCCTATAGTCAGCAGTTGTTCTTGGCACTGAAACTCCTTAAAAGATGCAATATCCTCCATGCAGATATCAAGCCAGACAACATCCTGGTAAGTCAGAGATCAGCGGCCCTGCACCTCCGTGTGGCCTCTCACCTGGTGTGGTTACCGCCGTGTTGTGCTAGAGGTAGCGTCTTAGGAGAAATAATTCAGCATATTAATTACCCGTCACAATGACTTGACCAGTTTTTACTTCTTCTGGAAAGTGGGTCGTGAAATTTTCTAGTGAAGTGTAAAGAAAAAGGGAGAAGCAGACCGCTGTCTGGGTTTTCCCTCCTGACAGTAGGTTTAGTGCACGCAGATCCCGGGGCGCTGCGGTGCAGTGCTGGTGGCGTCCTCTGGTGTCTGGGAAGGTGCTGCGATGTTACTGTCTTGAGATGAGTATTCACAGTCCTAGACAGCGTGAGGGACACTTAAGGGCGTTGCCCGCTCGGGACGCGCGGAGTTGCGTTCCGGGTGTCCGGGGAGTCCCTTGCCCTCTGTTCCTTGTGCTGTGGAAGCTGCGGCTGCCGGGGCCACGCCCAGGAGAGCTCGCTGTCCGAGCTGGCCCAGCCGCGCGGTCCGAGCTCCTGGCCGCTGGGCGGGAGGCGCAGGCCTCTCTGTGTGTTTGAAACTTGGAAGCAGACCTCGTCACCGCGGAGGGGTGGCGCGTGCGCAGCCCTTCCCTCCCTGGCCCTTTCTTCGTGTCTGTTGTCGGCGCGTCCCGGCGGGGCCGTGCTCACAATTTGCGGGGTGCGTAGCTCGTCCGTCAGTAGTTAGCATGTGCCACACCTTAAAATAAGATACCCCGTTAAGGTTTGTTCAGGACTCCGAGGCAGTAGCTTGGCACTTAATTCAGAGTTCTCTTTTTCCTTTCTTTGTTTAATATCTTAAAAATACCCCCTTGCAGACGAGCACGTTGATGCTGTGTTGTGCCGGGCGACCTACCGCGTTTCCGATCTGACTCGGGTGAGGGGGGCTGGGTGATGGCAGGGAGGTGGCAGGCTTGGTGTGGACGGCTTGCAGACCTGCCTAGTCAGCTTCATGGGTGACTTTGACCTCTTTCTCTTTTTTACATTGCAAAGTACACCATCCCTGTCAAGGAGTGTGTGAACTGTGTACAAGTGAAAGGTAATTACGCAGGGAACGTCTGTGTGACCACCGTGGAGGTCAGATAAGACATGGGCGAGGACCCTAGGAGCTCTTGTTTTTACAACTTTGTTTTTCTTCAAGTTTTGCTAAACTAGTGTAGGTTTTCACATGGATTCAGACGGCTTTCCCTTCTTCCTGAGAAAGGAAAAAGTAGACGTCAGAGACCATGTGGGGCTGCTTGTCCATGAAATTGCAGAGCGCTCCGCCTGGGTTGCAGCTGTCAGTGTCCTCCGGGGCCAGCAGAGGGGAGAGCAGATGTGGGCCCTGCTGTTGAGGGCGTTTGTCAGTCCAAGCTCCGCGGAGAGATGATGATTTTAAAGTGGCCCTGGGGTTTTCTCTGGGTTTTCACGCTGCCTCCTGAAGTCACTGCATGCAGTTTATGTTTAAAAGCACTTTTCCATTTGAAGATCCCTATATCCCTGATCCCCCAGAGGACCAAGAGAGCGGTGACTGAAGTGGCAGCTGTAATCCTGTCTGTTGTCACCGTCCTCTGGACGTCAGCTGCAATGGACGGTCTGTACCACGCCTGGAGAGACTGCCCGGGGCCTTGGATTTACAGTGCTGTGTCTCTGGGGCGGGAAAAGCAGGCCTCGTTCAAGTCCCAACTCGGAATCTGTGTGTGTCTCTTTTGAAGGGGGGAAGGGACTCTGCACTGTGAATTGCCTTCACTTGCTAATCCCGAGCCTGCCTGTGACTCTGACTCATGAGTGGCGCAGCCATGGGAGCAGCTCCAGGCCTTGTCGGCAGGTGTCACTGTCCCTGTGTGTGTGGAGTGTTTCCGAGGGAAGAGGAGCAAGTGGCTGATACAGTGTTCGTGTTCCATCAGTTTTGCCGAATATATTTAACGTTTCCTGACTAATACCTTCTTCGTGTTTAAGGGGTTTTATATTTTTTATACTTGAAGTGAGTAAATTTGGGATGGCCCAGCAGCTACGGACGGAGAATGTTTTTACGCTGTTTTGTCTATAAATTTAATCTGACTCCTCCTGCTTTCTTTGCCGTCATAATTTTCTGGCAAATGAAAGTTAACTTAAGTCAGTTGTAGGTTAATCTAATGAATGTCTTCATGTTCCTTGTAAGTAGTCAGTTGACTTTATGCAGGTTTTCTGGGGATTTTTAGAAGATATTTCAGTGCTTTCTCTTAACTACTCCTTTCTTTTCTAAATAGTATTGGTTAAAATTAAGTTTACCTGGTATTACCCCTATTTTCTCACTGAAGAGGTTCTCTTACTAATTATAATCAAATATTTGATAGCTCATAATTACTCATAATTAGGAAATTAAGTTATAACATAATTTAGGGCTAAGTTAAAAATAATTAAGGAGTCAGTGAGTGACTTTGTTCTCAATATTAGAAATAACTTCTCAAAGCCAATTATTTTTATCTGATTATTTGTCTTAATTATTCCCGGCATGAGTTCAACTTCATGATAAAATATTTTGCAGGTTAATGAATCAAAAACCATTTTAAAGCTCTGTGATTTTGGGTCGGCTTCACACGTGGCAGACAACGACACGACGCCCTACCTTGTCAGTAGATTTTACCGCGCTCCTGAGATCAGTAAGTGTCCTCGGGTGCTCTCTGGCCCGGCCGTCCTGTGCGGTGGAGGCCGCGTGGTTGCGGCTGAGCACGGTTTTCCATCACGCTCAGCCGCTGCACGAGCCGCTCGTCCTCAGGGGGAATGGCGTAGTGTGACGGGCGGCTTGGCCGTGTCTGGCAAGAGTAACAGGCAGCTGTGGACAGTCCTCCCTTGAGAAGACTGCTCTTGGTTACGCAGGGCCTGACCGTCCCATGTATGAATTGCGTGGGACCTTGGTCGTGTCTTCCTGTTGCCGTGGCCGAGGCTGGTTGGCACGTCTGCCGAAGATGAAATGGAGAGAGAGATGCGCTTCCTTCTGCCCTTCAGTGCCTTCCCCACCCCCGCATGTTTTAAGGTTTTAAGTGTGAGTCCGTATTAGGAATTAATAGGAAAGAACATGAAACTGATGCCAGAGTGGTGGTAAAATCGTGGATCTAGAGTCCAGGCTAAGTCAGTCCCCTGTTAGCGGAGATGAACGGCAGCTCGTTGGTTTCCTCCGTGTGTGCTGACGTCTGGTTTGCTTCAGTTATAGGCAAAAGCTATGACTACGGCATAGACATGTGGTCTGTGGGCTGCACCTTGTATGAGCTCTACACTGGAAAGATTTTATTTCCTGGCAAAACCAATAACCACATGTTGAAGCTCGCCATGGATCTCAAAGGAAAGATGCCAAATAAGGTAGGGTGTTCGTGCGAGCCTGCTCTCCTCGGGGCCTTGGCGGTGCCTTCCTGCACACCCTGGGTTCTGACACGTGCTCGTCTCCAGAGAGTGGCTCTGAGACAGTTTCAGAGGCAGGCACCTGGCGACTGTGGCTCCTTAGCTCTTCCTTGTTTCTGGTGTGTAAATTAGTGCTTCTGAACAGCCAGGAGCTCTTGAGAGAGAAGACGAGAACTGCCTTCTCCTTTTCTCGTCTGCAGTCTGTCTGTGTGAATCCTAAGCAGGAGGGCAGGGGCCTGCTGTTGGGCAGAACTGGAGTTGAGGAGGACAGCTGACGCAGACACCTGGCCACGTAGGTGGGGCTGTTTTCACCTCCTCCTCCTTGTGCCTGGCCGTCACGCCGCGGGGGCCCTGGGAGCGCGGCCGCACTGCCGCAGCTGGGCGGCAGCAGGTGCAGGCCAGGTGGACAGACAGGTCAGGACGGCCTCGGTCATCAGGATGAGTGGGGGGAGGGGACCAGAAGGGGGACTTGATGGCGGTCAGTTGGAAGTTATTTGGGGAAGGAAGAGGGTTTGGAGAAAACTCACAGGAAATGACCTCTTTTTAACCTAAAACCCTTGATGCTTGAGCTGTAATATCAGTTTCTGTTTGATTAACACAAATTAAGAACTTTATAGACATTTTATAAAAATGTCTGCAGGCCGTATTATGGCCTTTTATGATTTCAGCTTTTTTGCTGAATTTGAGAGATTTATAGATTTTTCTCCCTATAGGTCAGAGGCCATTATGGCTTTTAGTTATGTCCAAATTCTGTTTTGTTGGACTTGTTTAGACTAAGTTACACAGAAATTGGCTGTCTTGACATTTGCTTTAATGAGGTCTGACCTGTGTCATTTTAGGGCTGTTAGAACATAATTTTAAAAATGTCGTTAGGTTTCTTAACTGCCGGAGGAAAAGGCCCCAGTTGTCTAGTACATTTCCTCTCTCCAAGCAAATGATTTTTAAGTCTCTATTTAATCCTCAGTTTCAAATAGTGAAAGCCTGGCTCGTGTTGTAACTGGCCTGGCTCGCTGCCTAGGGAAGCACAATTGCACGTTAGTAGGTGGTTTCAGGTGCGACATTTGCGTTAGCTTTTCCAAAGATGTTACTTTCTGGAAAGCAAGGAATCAGATCATTTTCAAATAATGAAACAAACCCAGAGAGAGAATGTCTGTGTGACTTGTTACATGTTAGCTGGTCAGTAGACCAGACTTTTCTAAGAGCTCAGAGCCCATGTTGGTTTTGCTTTATTGCCAGATGATTCGGAAAGGTGTGTTCAAAGACCAGCATTTTGATCAGAACCTCAACTTCATGTACATAGAAGTGGATAAAGTGACAGAGAGGGTGAGTCTCCTGTAGGTGTGGTTCATTAAATGGCCATCTGTTAACGGAGTGAGTGCGGGGGGCGGAGGTGGGTGCTGGTCTAGCAGATTTGAATATTTTAAACCACTAAAAATAATTCCGTCTTGCTGTTGACCAGTTCCTGAATAAACATCAGATTATGGAAAAGATGAAGAGATTTTAAAATGTTTTCCTAGTAGAATGAGTTTATTTTTACCACATTTAGGCCCTTTTCTCTCCCCTTGGATCGCTTTCTCGGTCTGGCCTCCCGTCCAGCTTGCGTGCTACTGCCAGAGTGGTCTTTTTGAAAACAAATCTGATCATATCACTCTGCCAGCCTAGAAGTGCTTCGAGGGCTCCCTATTACCTATAAAATAACGTGTTTCACTCAGAAAGACTCCGTCCTCAGCGGTAACCCCGCTCCTGGCGTGGGCCTGGGCTGGCTGCTGTGCAGCCCCCAGGCCTCCGTGCACGCGCCGCCCTGACCTCCTTGTCTCTTGTTCTCCCTCCTGATTCACAGCACCTCGTGGTACAGACTCGGGTGCCTGCCTGCCTGTCACCTCAGAGCAGGGAAAGTGCAGTTCAGACACAAGTGCTGACCGTTCATGACTTTTCATTACATAACGTGCTTTTGAATTCTCGTAGAATTCCTTTCTCTGGTCATTTTGATCTTAAGTTACGTATGTTTAGTGACTTATTTAGAGACACACATTTAAAAAATTATTTTTAGGAGAAAGTTACTGTCATGAGCACCATTAATCCAACCAAGGACCTGTTGGCCGACCTGATTGGGTGCCAGCGACTTCCAGAAGACCAGCGTAAAAAAGTCCACCAGCTGAAGGACTTGCTGGACCAGATCCTAATGTTGGACCCAGCTAAACGGATCAGCATCAACCAGGCCCTGCAGCACGCCTTCATCCAGGAGAAGATTTAAACGAGATGAAGACGCTCCCAGGGTTTGCATAATTAAATACAAAGACTGAAGAAATTTCACAGCAGTCTATTAATGTATATAAACTTATAAATATTTCTCCAGCAAATTTGAGGAAGCATGATATATTTGAATTAACACCAAGGGTGATATTTCTTTTAGAAATGTTAGTTTACTTGTTTTGTGTCTTATGTGAAGTTTCACTGTAGAACTGTTTTAATTGCCAAGACTGCACAGAATCACAGTGCTAATGTAAGTGGTTGCAGCTCACGGGAAGGACAGAGCATCTGTTACAAAATGAGTAGTAATGCTGGGTGGTTGATCTGTTTAGCAGAGTTGGCTTCATTGTGGTGTTGAGGTGGGATGGCCAGCATAAATGCTGTTTATATTCACGTTTCCCTAGGTGTGTGCGCAGGCCACAGCAGCATGCCCTGGGTGTGGTCAGTGCCGCAAGGGGTCTGTTCCTTCTTGAGCCTGCCTGCAGGGATGGTCTCCTCTTTTAAAGCAGGTTGTGTACAACATTCAGTACACTGAAGGTAAGCTAAACCATCAACATCACTGGTGTTTTAAGATGTTATTTTATTGGAACAATTGACAAATGAGGGATATTAGCTTTGTGGCAGAATTCCCTGCATGTGTGATAACTGATCTTGTTTTATTTTTGGCATTGCAACTGTGGCATAGTTACAATTTCTGTTCTGTTCATCACATTTAAAATTGGAAGAGTATGCGCTTGATGGATAGAGCGCCTTCAGTGTACTGTTTCTTATTAACTTTAATTTTTTTAAATCAACTTGCTATAGACTTTATATACATTTTGTTAAATACAGTTCCTAGTGACATAGAAACAAGGCGTAGTTTTCATTTACAAATAACAAATGTTGAGGCCCGATTCTGGAAGTCCTCATATTTAAAATTTAGCTAGACGACATAATGAAATTTTTAACTATTTGTATGTCATTTTGAAAGTGTACTGCTTTATGGTAAAAGTGTTTTTCATTTGTTCATTGTTTTCATTATTTGTGATCATGTTGTCTTTCAATACAGGCATAACCCTCCCACTCTTGAACAAAGCAGCTGCTTTTTAAAAGCGGTAATTGCTTCTTTACCTTTTATTTCTTTTGTAAATGAAGCTTTTCTTTAAGAATGTGACTTTAAAGTGTTGTCTATTGCATAAAACAGTTGACACTCACTTATTGTAAAGTGAAGATTGTTCTACTGCATGTGAAGTGGACCATGCAGATTTCTGTATGTTCTCAGTATGCATCACTAGATAATAAAGTCTTTTGTGAACAAGGCATTTGTAGCCATTTTTAAAAGTTTTTGTCTTCAGTGCTGGTAAGTCAGTTAAACCATATATAGTTAAAAGCAACCTTGCGTTTTTTCCTTTAAGTCTTAACTGAAAGAATTATTTGTTAAAGATGTGAACCTAGCCACAAGTTTTATCATTTTATTAATAATTAGGATCCTAATTATTTCATCAAAAAATTCTACCAGTATTGTCAGCTTTCAGTGTAGTGAGGTAATTCCTATAGGTTATGGGGTATAATTCAGGATTTAACTAATGTTTCTGCTATTTTCTCACTTTTCCTTCTGATGGTGCGGAAAGAGAAAAAGGAAAACGGGGCACAGGCCACTCACCGCCTTCTCCAAGGGGTCTGATTTGCTGAGACACCAGCTTCACCTTCTTAACAAGGTTATTTCTGACAGCATGTGTAGATAAACAATTTAGCAACAATTTAAAACAAAATCATGTAAATCAGTTTGGTTTTGCAACACAAAGGAATTTGTATTTTTAACATGGTTGAAGAGAATTTTTCAGAAATGTATGTAATAATCTTTTCTGTTTGGGTGGTAACATTTATGCTTGTCTCCCTGAGGAATGTGGAAAAATAATCAGATTTTAGGGGTTTAAGTAGTATTTAAAAATTGTAAATGGGATTCTTTTATTCACCCAGGCTCCTAATTACAACACGCATGCACATTTTGGTGCATCCATGAATGGGAAATCAGAATAGCAGGATTCTCCTGGTGGGTTTTGCTCCGTGTGAAGGTGATAGATGCCATAATCATGACAGCCAGCCCTGACTCCACCCCGACTCCTTGTGGCTTAGACTTAGTCACCTAGATGCAAGGTGGTGTTGGCCTCCAGGCGTGAAGCCTTTAAACAAGGCATCACATGCGCAGCCCTCTGCCGTAAGGACACGGCAGCGACGTCCCACCGTTACTTACTCTGGTGACGATACGCTGCCTGGTCAGGTCTTCTGTAGTTTTTTCACTCAGAATAGTTACCGTTTGATGTTTCTGGTGATTTTCATGGTTCCATTTTTATACGTAAATGTTTAAGTAAGTTAACTTCCACTAGAAACCGTTCATCTTATGCCTTCAAAACTGTTACATGTTCTTTAAAAAACAAAGTTGCTTGTTACTTGTTCTTTGTGTTTTAGGTGCAGCTCAGTGGAAGATGATGACACCAGAAGACATGAGCTAAGGTTTCTGTTCTGTAAAAGATTAAAAAAATAAAAAAAGAATCCTCCACTTAATTCTGTCTGGTTCTTTAGTTTGGCAGCGTTACGATTTGGGTTGGCTTTGCCGTCTGGGACTCAGACACGGCAGAGCAGCCGTGCTGTGCCCGCCGTGAGGTGCTTCCTGCCTCCCTGCCCCGGCCCTAGAACCAGACCTGGGGTCAGATGCAGCAGCATAAGGGGCATGGGTGGCGAGGTTCCACTTAGATGAGGTTGTCAGCTGGGCTCCCAGGGTGGTTAGAAGACCCCGCCCGTTGGGGAGTAGTCTCCCAGGTAGCTGGCGGCCCCCTTGTCTGGTGCCCAGGGAGAGACTGCACGCCAGGAGCTCTGCCCGGCCCCTGTGGCACTCTCCGTGTCTGCGCCCAGCCGGGGCTCCTCCGCGGGCTCGGAACAGGCTGATGTGCAGAGCCGCTGCCCCTTTTCTTTCTCGAGGGAAATGAGGTGACAGTCCGTAGATCTTTGATGTTCCCGAACTCGGCATTCCTCCGCTTACCTATTTGAAAGGAGCCCCAAGAACGGTCTTTGTCCTGCACACGGCCTCGTGTCCTAATCTGCGGCATTGCCGCAGCTGGAGCCCGGGGCCCTGCGGGGCCGAGGCCAGTGGTGAGCTGTCCTGGGCCGCCTGCGCTCCCGGGCAGTTGCTGTGTGGTCTTCAGATAGGGTTCTCTTGTGAAGTTTTTGCTTTATTATACTTGATGGCAGAAACGATGGTTATCAGAAATTAGGCTAGAATTTCAAGCTTTTCTAGGGAGGGAGCGTCTTGTCATTAATATTAAGACCCTCCCGGCATTTGTATTCACCCTGAAGTCCTTGTTAGCAGCGCCTGTATCCTTGTTCCCCAGCGCCTGGTTCATTCCAGTCTACTTCTTTTTCTCAGAATAATTGTGTTTGAAAAAAATTGTTTTTGCCATTATAATTACTACTTTCTTTTCCTAACTAAAACGCTCAGGACGTTTTTACAGTACAGAAAAATTGTATAACTTGCGGGGTGTGGTAGAGGCAGTGACAGGGGACATTCTCAGACGCTTCCTCATCTGCACTTTATCATCACTTCGGAGCAGAACTCCGGCTGGCGAGGTAGAAGGGAAATCTGAGAATGAAACGGGTCGCCTGTCTTCAGATTTAGTCCAAGCAGTTAAGGAATCCCCCTTTTAAACACTGAGACGGGAAGGAAGCCGCAGGTGTTCACATACGCAGCTGCTTTCTGTTACGATGTCGTTAGACATCGGGCTTCACACAGTGCTCTTCATAGTGTGTATTCCGTGTGAATTTTACCATTTTCCAAGATGAAGTGTCCTTATAGAAATGTTCGCTACAAATCTGTGTTTTTTACATGGCAATTAATGTGCACCAAGTTGAGTTTTTAAAATGTTTTCCAGTTATTTTTACATCATCATGGCATCTGTGATTTTTCTTTTCCTTCTACGTGTAGGGTAAGGGCCTGTCCTGAAGAGCCTTTCCATTTAGTGATCAAGATGTGGAAGCTGATCTCTCAAAATAGCGCGCGCCCGAGTTGCTCCCGGTGCCACTTGAATTGCAACTGGGATTTCAGCAGCAACGTTCCCAAATTGACTTACTAGGAAAACTTAATAAAATATGCCTCTTGTTACCATTCTGCCTCCTGATTTTTTCATTGCTCAAGCTTGGCGTTTTACATTTAGTTTAAAGTTAAAAACACTATGTCTTACCTGATGTCTCTCTCACCGATCTTCGCAGAGGTGCTTTGAAAGGCATTTTGTGCCCAGAGATGACTGGGAAATGCCAGGTCCGAGTTCTCAAGACACGGGCTGTGTGAGCCTCGCGGGAGGGGAGGGTGTGCCGGAGGCTGGCCGCCCGCCTGCCAGCATCTGCCCGCCAGAACCTGCAGCCCGGGAGCCGCCGAGTGAGCGCAGGCGTCCTCGCCAGCGGCCAGGCTCACCAAGCGACCCAGCGCAGGGCTCGCGGCAGAGTGTGCTGTGTTCGCGTTCCTGGGACATGTATTTGATTTCATTTTCCTAGTGAGAAACACAGGAAGTAATGAGAGAGTCCCCGTTTCTGTACAGACTTAAAGAAACGGGTTCACTGCAGACGGGGAAGCCCAACGAATGCTGGACTAATACTCCGGCCACCCGTCATTTCCTCCTGAAGAAATGTCTCCAGCTTTAAAAAAAAAAAAGAAAGTGATTAAAATACATGGTAAAGACAGGTTGTGGGAACCTTGCGCACGTGCAGCGCGGGACCGCGGGCCGGAGGGCCGGAGCGGCCGTGTGGCTGGGCCCTGCCCTGGGGCGGCCGTGGAGCGGGCGCGGAGGGGCAGGGGCTCCGGGCAGCCTTCTCGTAAACGCGTAGTCGTAGTTAGGCCTGAAGACTAAGAGCTACATTCTGTCACTTGAAGCGCACCTAACATGACAGCAGGTCACGGGGGAAGTAGCGTGTAGGGTGTACTGGGTTGGTACAAACTTCTAAGAGGCCTCTCCTGTGTGCTTCCTGACGTGGCAGAACCTGCCTGTGTTAAGATCCCAGACGAGCCAAGAAAGGGCGTCAGTGCTGAGGAGCTAAGCGTGGGGACTGGGAGCGGCCGAGAAGCCCAGCTTAACTAAAGTCCCCTGAACAGAAGTACTTTATATGTGCTGCTACAAATTTTGCCAACTGTTTCTTCAAAACTAGTGGTAGAAGTTGGCTTCCAACAGGTCCGGCAAATAGCAAAATCTGAATTTGTTTGTAACTGTATGCCCACCCCGCCCGCCCTGTGGTGCGTTCTCCCCGGTCTGCACCCACCGCCTGGCTTGCCCCCACGTTGTGCGAGGGGCACTTGGTGTTTCCTACGTACTCCCCACTTCTGGCCTCAATTTAGGGACTCGGTTTAAACAAAGAATCGCAACAAGTGTATTTTTACCAACTGATCGTGTGTTAAAATTATTAGTCCCTCAAGGAATATAAAGGAAGACTTGGGGGAAAGGACCAAGTACTCAGGCCGTCGAAGAGTCCTTGGGACGAGCAACTGGCTATTGACAAGGTTATTTTATAATGTTTTATTGAAATTTTTACTAGTTTAAAGCTTTGCCTCAGGTGGCAAGCTCATCTTATGTGTCATTTTGTTGCTGTTACTCAAATTTCTTGTAGTTTAGTGAGGTGAACGACTTCAGATTTTTTTACTGGCTTGGATATTTGAGGCAAAGCTTCCTTTTTGTTTATATAATGCTGAATTTTTTTGTTTGAAATTTAACAGATTGGTAACCTAAAAAAAAAAACATAGTCCCTTGGCCTCATAATTGAAGTCAGGCAGGGTGCTAACACATTTCTTACACAACTACGTTTAAAGCAACTTGGTGTTTTAAAAAAAAATGCAACTGGGGACTCTCAATGGAAACCTCTGGTAGGGGTTTCGGTGGTTGTCTTCTTGTACTTTCTCCCCCTTCCACCCTTAGGTCTAACGGCATTTTAAATAACGTAGCCTGGTTGTGTTTTCAGTAAGAAATTGCTCTTCCCTGTCTCTAAGGCATTAAAGGCCAGAATTCCAAAAGACAGGATAACTAATTTGAATTCAGCAACTGTCCACCAAAACCAAAACCCACTACCCCTGAAAACGTCCAGACTGCTCTATGCGTGTTACATCAGGTTTTCCCCTTGGTGATGTTTTTCAAAGTGTGAGCCAAGAACCACCTGCGTTAAAATCACCTGGGATGCTTGTTTACACTGAATCCCTGTGCCCCACTCCCAAAGACCCTGTTTCCTCAGGCCCCCAGTAGAACCCAGGACTCTGCTGTTTAGTTTCCCTGGTTTTTAGGTGCAGTAAAGTGTGACAATCACATAGTATTCCTTTCTCACCAGTTAACGAGTTAAGCTTTCGCTGTTTGAGTTTCAACTAACAAGGGTCAAGACTTCCGGCAACAAGGAGCCCTGGGAAAACCCCATTAACCTAAGATTCGGACTGTTCTGTGTACAGTGACCTCTTCCCATTTTCCTTCAACGGCCTAAGACTACTAGATCCGAGGCAGGATGGTGATTTCATGCCCAAACCCGTAGTTAGGCCCTCAAAGAACCGACCTTGCTTTACTGTGTCTGGCCAAGGACCCCGGAAAGGGAAAGGCTCTAAGGGTTCATGGGGGGGGCCCAAAGTACTCTGTGTGTCAGTTTAACAAAATAGCACTTCAGCTTTTCATGGCCAAGCAAACACCCAAAGGCTAGGTCAGAATGACAGACAAAGGAGATCTGTGGAGATGGGAAGGGAAAGAAAAAAGGTACCAGTGGAAAAAACTGAAAAAAAAAAACCCACTGAGAAAGACAAATATCTTATGCTATCACTTACATGTGGAATCTAAAAAATGACACAAATGAACTTATTTACAAGACAGGCACAGACTCACAGACATAGAAAACAAACTATGGTTACCAGGGTGCGAAAGGGAGGGGAGGAACAGAAGGAACAGACCAGGAGTGTGGGACTAGCAGATACACACTACGTGTGAAATAGAGAAGCAACAAGGATTCACAGTATGGCACAAGGAACTGTATTCAACATCTTGTAATACCCTATAATGGAAAATAATCTGAAATATATATATATAACTGAGTCACTTGGCTGTATGCCTGAAAACTAACACAATGTTGCAAATCAACTATGCTTCAATTTAAAAAAAAAAAAACACCGACTCTCATGCTGTATAACAGAGCAGAATAAAGGGGTCTTGTACCAGCAGTTAAGTCGACGGCACCATTTATTGATGGAATTATACGGGAAAACAATCACGGCAAAAGGACCATCTTTACTAGTCTCAGTGAAACCACCTTTGAAACGTAACCTGTGGGAGGCTGTCCACGGGGTCGGCAGGGAAGCCCCCGGGTTTCCCTGTAGACATCTCAGCTGGGTCTCAAGTTCTACTCCCTGGCGCAGCCAGGAACCGCGTGGAGGGCATGGGTGTTTCTGGCCCGTAGCTCAGGGTGAGGGACCATGCTTCAGCCGGGCTTCCTGGAGTAGACCTGCTCACGTTGAGACACAGGGAAGAAAAGAGTTATTTCTGGTCAATGGGTGAGCACTTGTCCTTCGCTATCAACGAAGACGACAGACAGTTTAGCTTCTGAACACAGAATGGTTTGTTCAACACCACGTTTTTTCGGTAAAGTTTCTTTTTGGTCCTTGGTACCTTAGCTCCTTCCCTCTCATTTTCGGGAAAAGACAGAGATATAGGTGCAACTGGTATAGGAGACTTTGGTGGCAGACATCGGGTTGGGACCATTTTAACCAGCAGTTGAGCTGCCCGGGCAGGAGCAGGCTTGGCTGAGAGCTCTTGGCCTGGGTTTAAAGTGGCACTTCTGGGGTTCTTAGAGTCGTCGTAAGTGGCCATCACTTGCTTTGTGGTGGAGGAGCTTTTCAGAGATGGTCTAGAACCCCACCTGTACCTGCCAGCACTGCTCCAGTCCCACCTGGATGTGCTGCGCTCAAGCTTACAAGAACCAGGATCGCTCTTCCTTTTTTCGTGACTTTTATCTGCACAAATTGTCTGAAGACTCAAAGAGTCAGAAAGCCTGGGCTGCCTCGTTTTGGGAACGGGTTCAGAAGAGGGTCTTTCAGGGGCTCCGGGAGTGCAGGGCGGGGTCTGCAGTCTCGGCCTTTCTTTTTGAATTGTCACATGCTGCAGTCGTTCCATTTCCAGTAACCGAGTTATCAAAGGCTCCAGGGAGCTTTCCGGAAGCACCGCTGTCATTGTCCAGTTTGCAGACCTGGAGAAGGCTAACCTGTGCAGGTCCAGGGCGCCGAAAGGCGGGGGCAGCAGGGCAGGATATGGGAACGCTTCGCTCGGCTCTTCGGTGAAAAAGTCGTCAACATTTTCTATTGTTTCTGGCTTTAAATTAAGGTCCATCTTTTTAAAATAGCTGAGTAAAGTTTTGTTTGCTTTCTCATTTTCTGATAAGTCGCTTTCATCTGTTAAATTTTCCTTCACACTGCTGCTTCCACACTTCAAATTCCAAGTTGGAGCAGTTAAAATGTCCCCACTGTTGTTTTCTACAGCTGAGCATAAATTCACCTGAGGCTCGTTTCTGTCCTTGCAAAAGTCTCCGTCGGCGTGCGGCCAGCAGGGCAGGGCAGGCGCTCACCCGCTGGCCCACCGAGGCAGCTGCTCGGGAGTGGCTCTCGGCGAGCAGCATTGTGGGACTACTGGTCACGTGATAGCCTGTCTCCATCGAAGATCTTCTGAAATCCCTTAAAAAATGATGTAGTTAATGAATGGTTGGTTGACTAGCATTAAAATGCTATTAAAACGATAATGAATAAGAAAGCCTGATCAAAGACTAGCTAACCTTTGGTTCCCAGTGGCCTGGGTGTGTCTCTGTAACAGAAACATGTTAACTTTCAAATATGCTCGAATTATATCCAACTATAGACACTTTTTAAAGTATAGATTGGGGGAGGGTACAGCTCAGTGGTGGAGCACATCTTAGTGTGCACGAGGTCCTGGGTTCAATCCCCAGTACGTCCATTAAAAAAAAAGTGTACTTACTGTATATAAAATAGATGAACAGCAAGGTCCTACTGTAGAGCATATTCAGTATCTTGCAACGGCCTATAATGAAAAAGAATAGGAAAAGGAATACATATATGAATTTATAAATGAATCACTCTGCTGTACACCAAAAATTAACACAACACTGTAAATCGACTATACTTCAATTAAAAAAGAAAGAAAAGAACAGAAAATTATAGTGTAGATTAAAATATTAGCTGAGCATCCGTTTGTACATCACAGGAGACCAGATCACCGTGCCTGCAAACGGTTAGCTGTGGCTATGAATGGTTGGAAGTGGCCAGGTGCTTCCATTTGCCTACAAAAATACTGTACGTGCAGTTATGATGTCTGAAAAGGAGGCTCTCAAACTGAAATTACAGTGAAGTGTGTACTGACTCAGAATTAGATCAGACTAAATAAACTCTTAAAGAACACAGGTTACTTAATAAAGGCTTCTACTTTTAAAAGCCATTGTGGTTTTAAAATTATTCTAATAAAAAAGGAAGTAAAACAATGTCTATCAAACAACTACTACCCCAGATCTAGTCCACAGTAATTGTCACCTGACGGCGCTTTTTTTTTTTTTGGAGTAATACTTCTAGGTGTTGTATTAAAAGGAAAACTGCAAAAAAAAGGCCTTAGAATACTGAGTTTACAGTTCTTTTAGCGCTTCCTAGAGATGCTGACACTGAGGGGTTTGATGCATTAATTGACACATATACATTCTCTACTTACTTTTAAAGCTCACTGACACTCGAGACAGCAAAGTAGCCTTGAAGAATTTTGAAAATTACTTTCATTTTGATAGAAAACGGTAAAAATTACTCATTTAGCTAAATGCTAGGTATACTGACTTGCCTCTGAAAAGCCACAGGAAAGTCACTTTGCGTCGACAGTGGGTAACTGACACAAGCCACGCAGTCTGGGAAAAAGGGCGCGGATCCGCGCGTGAGGCGCAGGCCTGGACCCCTTGGCCGCCAGCGAGCAAAACGCGAACTCTAATCCACGCCCCCTCGGGGGGCTCCGAGCAGCAAGCCCGCGACATGAACGTGCTCTGCAGGCTTCATCGGAGTGGCAGCTACCACCACCCTGACTCTCTGACTTGCTGACGGCAGGCGGAGCTGAAGCCCCTCGCGAACGCTCCCCTGACACCCAGCTCCCAACTCGGCCGCAGCGTCAGCACCCCTGCCCGGCCCACCAAGCGCGCGGTTCGGTTGAGTCCTCGGGCAGCGCAGGAGGCCGGCGGTGGCGTTCTCCGCCTTTTACGGCCGGACGCGGGGACGGGGCTCG